AAACGTGTCTTTAGAAATATGTTTCTATCACATTTTCATAAGTAATATTATCATTATGATAATACGATATCGTACTGTCCTATTATTATAATTCTTATATGAAGAATAGACGAAATTGCAATAATTAGTATTTTATATCTATCTGGAATATACATATAATACTTGTTTATTATTATACCAAACATATTAATTACTATGAAATAAATATAAAATTTTTTTAAATATAGTTTTTATAATGTGTATAATACGCAAAATTCCATATCTTCCAAGTTTTAGTAGCAGATGCTAAAATTATTATAGAACTAAAAAATGATGCTTCAACGTGAGCCTTCAATGATCAACGGTGAATTATATATATATATAGGAATTTTAACTATGAAGGATATAATAAAATATACAAATTTAAAATTATTAATGTAAGTAATGTTTAATATTTCAAGTACATAAAAGTTTATCGTATTAAATAATATTAAAATATGATATGGGAAGAGAGAACACTAAAGTATAAAGCATTAAATAAAATGAAGAATTAAAACGAAATTCACCGTATCCTCATGATATAATTATATAGAAGATAATTAATAAACTAGATTCGAATATAAAATAAAAAATCAATATATTTATTGATACAAAAACTAATTGCTGCTATATTTATTAAAATGCAGAAATTCTTATAATCTATTATACCATAATTTATAGCAATGATCAAGAAAATTCGTATAATCATTAGCCCATTTGAATGAAAGTTAATTCCAAAAGTATTTATAAATACAAATCTTCAGTTTAGCCAGTTAAAATTTAATTTAAGAAAGTAATTATTATAAAAGAGATTATATTTCTTAGAATAACACGATCGAATATAAATGATATTATAATTATATATATTAAATAAGTATATAATACAAAATAGTCCAGTCATCTATAAATATACTTTTTTGGTTACAATACCAAATTTATAAATGTAATCTTTTGGTGTCCAAGTATCTATTCTAATCATTAGTAATAATCCAAGAACTCCTTCACATACAGAGTATATTAAAAAAAATAAAAAATATTCAGATCCTAAATTTAAAGGAAATTATAAAATACAAGGAGATTATACGAACCAACTCTATTGTAATAAGAAACTTTAAAATAGTGATAGAATTTAGAAAAAGCTATTAAAACAAAAAATATAATAACGAAAATAATAATAATAATCAATTCTTTAATAATATGTAAAATATTTAAAATTTACATAAGAGTTACATAATAATAATAA